CAAATCCAGGGTAAGAAATACCCTCACACAGCGCTGGTAGTGTACGGTTATATGCATCCCTCTCCTGCTGTATTCCATCATTGCAATATTGGCGGATGACCCGGGGTTTGACTCCCCCACCAGCACATGAGGATGCTGGAGAGAGTTTTTTCCTTTTGGAGTTCGACTCCCCGTCAGCGCATTCGAAGAAGTTGTGCTCGTTTTTTTTCTTTTTTTATTCGATAGAAGTGCCTTCTGTTCGCCTGATATGACATGAATTACGATTCGCGAGTTTTTTTTACCATCCCAATCGCACATAAATCCAGGGTAAGAAATAAGCGCATACAGCGCTGGTAGTGTACAGTTACACGCATCCACCCACATGGTGTTGCCTCTTCTGAGTCCATGGATGAACAACCAGGGTTCGACTCCCCACCAGCGCATATACTCTTTCATTCCCACATTTCTCCTTCGCCAAACTTCCCTCCTATCAGTCCGCGTGCTTTTTGCAACCTACATAAATCCAGGGCATGAAATACCCCCACACAGCGCTGGTAGTGTACGGTTACACGCATCCTCCAGATCGAAGCGTTTGTTCGTCGAGTTCATGGATGAACAACCGGGGTTCGACTCCCCACCAGCGCATGAAAGTTGTGACTAGAGTTTTCCTTTCCTTTTTGGTGCGACGTCTGCACATCAAATCAACCAGACGCCAGGGTATCCATTACATTCCAGCATAAATTACACACATAAGATAAGCAAAGCGTAACTAAATACCAATCCGAATCCGCGCCGATACATAGAGTACCTGGTAACACAAAAAAATCACCTCCTCTAATTTTCAACCCTTCTATCTCGCATTCAAATACATGGTATGAAGTAACCTCAAACAGCGCTGGTAGTGTACGGTACGCGCATCCCCAGATTCAACCTGTACTCAAAACTCGATGGATGAACAACCGAGGTTCGACTCCCCGCGCCAGCGCATGTAACTGTTTTTTTTTTGCCGAAATTCGACGGTCAACTCGAACATTCAGTTCATTCCTCATATATACTCCATCCCCGTAAGATATGCAATCCTGATTTAACAAACTTCAATCACATCCTGGTAAAAAAAAAACTCGAGTACTATCACTGCCGTTCAAAGATGAACCCACATACCGAGATTTAATATGCGCCATGCAGCGCCGGTGATGTACGGCACACACGACTCCCCCGTCAGCGCATTCGAAGAGGTTGTGCGGGTTTTCCTTCTTTTTTTTGTTCGCCTAATATGACATGAATTACAATTCGCGGGCTCTTTTGACCATTGTTAAGGATTGGAGTAGATCTACAGAAAAATGATATTTAATTTACTACTCGAATTTTGAGCAGCTTGAGAGTTCCAGAAATCCCCGTCAGAGGATCCTGTGGTTCAACGGCCAGTTAGTAAGTCCGCAGGACGCGGTGCTCGATAGCTGTAGTTGTGAGAGACTTGAAAGGCTGCAAGACACGTACCTTTGATTGAAAGCTGCAAGACGCGGGCTTTATGAGAACTTAAGGCTGCAGAACGCGAGACCTTGAGGTGAAAGACGGCAAAGACGCGGGCCTTTCGGATGCTTAATTCATAGCAGAATATGGCGGAAGATGATAGTTGTATTGCAAGAGTGATGTCCCCAAGTTCTGGGGCGCTACATTATATATAGTTCTAAAACTACGACTCATAAGGAGTCATAAGGGACGCGGATCCGCCTCAGCGCGAGGCATCAGGTCGTTCGAGTCAAATCCGAACCGTGGGAAGTTCTCGGGCGAACTTCGGCCAACGATATGTACGTAGAAAATAATCACCGGCGAATAGTTCCAATATCCATAACAACCATCCCAATCGTACATAAATCCAGGGCACGAAATAACAGTGTACAGCGCTGGTAGTGTACGGTTACAAGCATCCTCCAAATGATTGTCCCGACTTTGGTCTATGCGGGGTTCGACTCCCCGCCCGCGCATGTTGCAAAATCTCCCAGTTTTTTTGTGAGAAATTCGACATGCAGCATTCACTGGCAGTCCAGTCCTCCTATATTCCATCTATCCAAGCACACATTCAAATCCAGGTTAAGAAATAAACGCGTACAGCGCTGGTAGTGTACGGTTACACGCATCCATCCATATTCGGAGCCCCATCACTTTCAAGTCCATGGATGAACAAACAACCGGGGTTCGACTCCCCCACCAGCGCATGCTCCATTCTTTCATCCTCACTTTTTCTTTCATTTTTTTTGTTGTCAAACTTCCCGTCCCTCCTATCAGTAAAAAAAAACCGCGTGCTTTTTGCAACCTACATAAATCCAAGGCATGAAATACCCCACACAGCGCCGGTAGTGTACGGTTACACGCATCCTCCAGATCGAATTGATTGTTCGTCGAGTTCATGGATGAACAACCGGGGTTCGACTCCCCACCAGTGCATAAGGATGATGAACAGCGTTTTTTTCCTTTTCTTTTTGGTACCACGTCCACACATCAGAGCAACTCAACCAGACGCCAGGGTATCCATTCCAGCATAAATGACACACATAAGATAAGTAAAGCGTAAGTAAGTAAATACCCAATCCGAATCCGCGCCGATACATAGAGTAGCATTAAAAAAATAGATCCATCTCGCTGTGCATGTACATACCATTAAAAAAAGCATTACGCCTTCCCTGTCCCTCCTCCGCACCACACAATCGAGGTCGAACCAAAACACGAACCCAACAACGAACCCACACACGAACACGAACGCTAACAACACCTCCCCTCCCCACCCACACCCCCATCGCCGGCGCCCCTCAACCCCAGCCTCAACCGCTCCTCCGCGCCCCCTCTCTTCCCTCCTAAGTCCCCAGGCGACTTGGGCCCACCAGCACCAGGCGATAAAGCGGAATGATGCTGACCCAACACAGCCGGCGGCCGCACCAACCGCCCCGCCACCCACCCAAACACCGCCTCCACGCCCGCGCCCGTGCGCGCCGACACGCGGAAGTGCGCCGCGCCCGCCGCGGACGGGAGCGGGAGGTCCGCGGCGTCGAGGAGCTGCAGGTCCGCACTCTGGTGTGCACTCCCACCACTACCTGCACTGCTCTTCCCAGCAGACGTGGCGGAAGCGGACGCCCCAGCAGACGTCCCCGAGCCGGATGTCGACGTCGTCCCCGTGTCAGTCGAAATCGACGTCGAATTCGAATGCCCCGTCGAAGTCGAATACCCGAAATCCGCCAACGCCCTCGCCCCCGCCGGGAAGTGGTGCTGGTACGGCAGGGGCGAGAGCGCCGAGATGCTAGGCGAGGGTGTTTCAGTTGTATTTACAGACGTGGTAGGCAAAGTGGTAGGTAAAGCAAAAGGAATGAGGACGCCCGGCCGCTGCTGCTTCGTTTTCTGTTTGTTGGGCTTGCCGTTGGTCTTGGCGGGGGGGTTGGGCTTTGGAGTCGGAGTTGGAGGAACGGCGGTGGTGCCGTTCGTATTAGCCCCGTTGACGTTAGCAGGTGCAGCACCGTTAACCACTGTACCCCCGTTGACCGGCGCAGGCACAGGTTTCGGGAACGCAAACCCCCTTACGCGCACGGGCGTGCTCTCGTCGTCCGCGTCATCCGAGAGCGTCGGGGAGCGCGGGGGTTCAGAGGACGTGGGCGAGTCAGATAGGTCGTCAGAGGCAGATAACTGAGCGGAGGATAGATGGTGCGAGGATGACGACGAGAAGTGCGCGGGAGTGATGGTGAGCTCGGAGGCGCTGCGCGCGGCGGGGGAGGGATCGCGCTGGTTAGAATGCCGGCGGGTGAATAAGGCGCAGACCCGAACACCCCGCGCGTGGGCGACGCTTCGTACGTCGAGCTGCGCGCGGAGTGGAATACGTCGGATGCGGCGTCGGAGAAGACGGACGAGGAGGGCGTGTGGTAGATTGTGAGTGTGGAGGTGAGCGTGGAGGCACGCGAGGCGGAGCATGCGTTGAGGTTGTTTGAGTTGGATGCACGCGAGGCGATGGCGCGGTGCTTGAGCTGGTCTACGAGTCGCGCGTTGGGAGGGAGGAATCGCGGCTCGAGTTTGCGCTGTGCGTTGGGCGTGGTGGGTGAGTCGCGCGGGCGGTTGCGCGGCGTGGGGGCTCTTGCGGGGAGAGCGTGAACAGTGGAGGTCCAGGGCCTACCCACATGATACGTCGTTCGACTGTCACGGTAAGAACGAGACGCTGACACTACGAGAACATCGGCATCGGCTGGATACTTGGGTTGTATGCGCTCAGTGGCCGATGACGGAAGGGCGGGATGGAGGGCTCATGCTGAGCGCTGGATAACAAAAAGAAGTCATGACTCGGATTGGACTCGGAGCCATGTGGGCGGACAAATAGAACATAACAACGCGTAGGAGATGTGAAGAGCATATGTACTGTTGCGCGACCGTGCACGGGTGACCGCACCAAATTTTTGACTCACATCTTCAAAGATACATAATAGTAAGAAGTGGCTGGCATGAATCAAACGGGTGGTAATTTTAACTCAGACTGCAGCTGACCAGAAACCTGGTGTTGTACTAGCGGATTTAATCATCCATGGAGAGTGCCACTTGAGAAAAACCATAAACCTGAGTCTGGAAACAGAGCAAGAAATATATAAGACCTGGCTCTCACAAGCAAACCACCTCCCCGAGTTGGTATTCTCCCCTAGTCCAACAACTTTCCGATGAATAATGAATAAATAAAAGGAAGACTTCTACAGCGGAAGGGCTTGCGTCCGCCATTGCTTCGGTAGCTCATGTGAATCCTGATAATAGATGAACTATGATTTGCGCCCTCTAATTCTTTACTATCCTAATCGCACTTGAGACAGGAAAAAAACCCACAAAGCGCTGGTGCTGTCCGGGAGTACGCGCTGTACCTATTCAAGTTGAAGTTATTCCTTCCGGCTCGTAGTCCGCTAAAAGCCTGGTCAAAGAATCGAAGACTATTTTCAACCATCCAACCATCCCACTCGATCCTACCTCGCATTCAAATCCAGGGTATGAAATAACCTCAAACAGCGCCGGTAGTGTACGGTACACGCATCCCCAGATTCAGCCTGTGCTCAATTCTATGGATGAACAACCGGGGTTCGACTCCCCGCTAGCGCATGCAGATCCCGGCGCATAATTTTTTTTTTTTTGCCGAAATTCGACGGTCAACTTGAACATTCAGTTCATTCCTCCTATATACTCCATCCCCGTAAAATATGCGATCCTGATTTAACAAACTCGAATCACATCCTGGTAAAAACAAAAAAACTCGAATACTGTTCACTCACCTCACTGCCGTTCAAAGGTGAACCCACATACCGAGTTTTAATATACCCCATGCAGCGCCAGTAGTGTACGGCACACGCATGCCTCATTATTGAGGGGAGATGCTCCCGGGGTTTCGGCTTTCCAAATTGCTCTATGGAACCGAAATTAAATCCCAGCAACACAAAAAAAAAAAATTGAGTACGTTTTGCAACCGTCCCAGTGGCGGTTAAACACGGGGCATGAATTATCCCAACAAGGCGCTGGTCTCGTGTAGGGGACACGTATCCTCCAGATGATGTTACATCCACATTGAGTTCATGTATGAACGACCGGGGTTGGACCCCCGCCAGCGCATTCGAAATCGCACTGGTTTTTTTTCTTCTTTTATTCCATAGAATTGGGCATCAGCCCCGTCCGCTCACCGGTCTCTTACATTGCACTCTTGAATGACCCAAACGTGAATCCTGGTAACAAGAAGAAATCGCGTATTTTTCAAACATTGACCGATACCCACGTACCAGGATATGAGATAGGCGCTGGTAGTGTACGCTACACACATTCTCCAGATTAGGAACAACAATTCATCCTAATATTCCGCCGGATGGCCTGGGGTTCGACTCCCCGTCAGCGCATTCGATGTTGTGATGGTTTTTTTTCTTCTTTTGTTCGCCTGATATGACATGAATTACGATTCGCGAGCTCTTTTGACCATCCCAATCGTACATAAATCCAGGGCACGAAATAACAGCGTACAGCGCTGGTAGTGTACGGTTACGCGCATCCTCCAGATAACGGATTGTTGATACATCGAGTTCATGGATGAACAACCGGGGTTCGACTCCCCGCCCGCGCATGCCGGAATAGTTGCCACCTTTTTTGTAAGAAATTCGACATGCAGCATTCACTGGCAGTTCATTCCTCCTATATCCATCTCTCCATCTATCCAAGCACACATTCAAATCCAGGGTAAGAAATAACCGCGTACCGCGCTGGTAGTGTACGGTACATGCATCCTCCAACTAGTTGTTCGCACTTTGGTCTATGGATATACAACCGGGGTTCGACTCCCCACACCAGCGCATGCGGATGACCAGAACGTCTTTTTCCCTTTCTTTTTGGTCCGTCCACACATCAACTCAACTCAACCAGACGCCAGGGTATCCATTCCAGCATAAATGACACACATAAGATAAAGTAAGCGTAAGTAAATAACAATCCGAATCCGCGCCGATACATAGAGTAGCATTAAACAAATAGATCCATCGGCCGTGCATGTACATACCATTAAAAAAAGCATTACGCCCTCCTCACAACCCTTTCCCTCAACAATCAAGATCGAACCCACACTCACACGAACGCTAACAACACCTCCCCTCGCCACCCACACCCCCGTCGCCGGCGCCCCTCAACCCCAGCCTCAACCTTTCCTCCGCGCCTCCTCTCTTCCCACCCAAGTCCCCAGGCGATCTGGGCCCACCAGCACCAGGCGATAAAGCGGAATGATGCTGACCCAACACAGCCGGCGGCCGCACCAACCGCCCCGCCACCCACCCAAACACCGCCTCCACGCCCGCGCCCGTGCGCGCCGACACGCGGAAGTGCGCCGCCCCCGCTGCAGAGGGCAGGGGCAGGTCCGCGGCGTCGAGGAGCTGCAAGTCCGCCGCACTCCCACCACTACCGCTTTCGCCTGCTGCACTGCTCTTCTTCCCAGCAGACGTAGTAGGAGCGGACGTCCCCGAGCCGGATGTTGTCGACGTCGTCCCCGTGTCAGTCGAAATCGACGTCGAATTCGAATGCCCCGTCGAACTCGAATACCCGAAATCCGCCAACGCCCTCGCCCCCGCCGGGAAGTGGTGCTGGTACGGCAGGGGCGAGAGCGCGGAGGTGCTGGGCGAGGGCGTTTCAGTTGTATTTACAGACGTGGTAGGCAAAGTGGTAGGTAAAGCAAAAGGAATGAGGACGCCTGGCCGCTGCTGCTTCGTTTTCTGTTTGTTGGGCTTGCCGTTGGTCTTGGCGGGGGGGTTGGGTTTTGGAGGTGGAGGAGCAGCGGTGGTGCCGTTCGTATTAGCCCCGTTGACGGCAGCAGGTGCAGCACCGTTAACAGGCGCAGGCGCACCGTTAACCGGCGCAGGCACAGGCTTCGGGAACGCGAACCCCCTTACGCGCACGGGCGTGCTCTCGTCGTCCGCGTCGTCCGAGAGCGTCGGGGAGCGCGGGGGCTCGGGGGACGTAGGTGAGTCAGATAGGTCGTCAGCGGTGGATAAATGATTGGAGGAAAGATGGTGCGAGGACGACGAGAAACGCGCAGGCGTGATGGTGAGCTCGGAGGCGCTGCGCGCGGCGGGGGAGGGGTCGCGCCCGTTTGACATGCCGGCGGGCGAATATGGCGCAGACCCGAACACCCCGCGCGTCGGCGACGTCTCGTACGTCGAGCTGCGCGCGGAGTGGAATACGTCGGACGCGGTGTCGGAGAAGACGGACGAGGAGGGCGTGTGGTAGATTGTGAGCGTGGAGGTGAGCGTGGAGGCGCGCGAGGCGGAGCGCGCGCTGAGGTTGTTTGAGTTGGATGCACGCGAGGCGACGGCGCGGCGCGTGAGGTAGCTGGTCCACGAGTCGCGCGGCTTGGAAGAATCGCGGCTCGAGTTGCGCTTTGCGTTGGGCGTGGTGGGTGAGTCGCGCGGGCGGTTGCGGGGCGTGGGGGGGTTTTGCGGGGAGAAGGGTGATGCAGGGCGTGCGGTCAGCTCCGAAGACGCTAGGGCGTCATTGTCCTCTTCATCTTCGTCGTCGTCGTTGAGGCTGTACACCCTTTGCGGCGACGGCGGCGGCGTATCCGGCCTCGGGACCAGCTCTCTCACGAACCGCGCGCCCTGCGCAGCGCTCACCCCGCCCTCACCACCCTCCTGCAACAAATCCATCTTATTCCCGACCACCACCACGCAGAATGCTCCTAGATCTGCGTCCGCCACGGGCGCCTTGTCGCGGAACTCGGCCCACCATTTGCGCAGTGCGTGCATGGTGTGTGGGGCGGTGACGTCGTACACGAGGATCGCAGCGTCGGCGCCGCGGAAGAACGCGGAGGCGAGCGAGGAGAAGCGCTCTTGGCCCGCCGTGTCCCAGATCTGCAGCACCACGGGCTCGCCGCCGGGTTCTTGCGAGGGCAGCGTCTTGGTGATGAAGTCGGCGCCGATGGTCGCGCGGTACGAGGTGCTGAAGCGCGCGGAGATGTACTGCAAGCGGTACCGTTAATGTTAATAAAGGATATAAAGGGACCACAGGGGCGCACCTGGCCACGAATGCTGGTTTTACCGACGCCGGATGCGCCGATTATGACGACTTTGAATGTGGGCATGGTGGTGGAGGAGCAAGACGGGGACGACGAGCGGGACAGCGCTGGCGCCGTGACTGCATCAACGTCTGCGTCAAGAGATGTTTGTCAGCTAGAGGCCGTTGCCAAACATGCTGCCAGTCAGCTTTTGCTCTCAACGCTTATCATGAATTACCTCCTGTGCCATGGTTACTCGCTCGATGGCTCTCTTTTGTCACGACCCTCCCCAGCGCTCGTCATCTAAATGGTTTATGACTCCCCTCGACGCTGGGTGACTGGGACGGCGCTGGCTTGGCACCGACGTGGACGGCGTGTGTTTTTGTTTTATTTTGCCGCCCAATTCAACGCACTAACCCAGGTTCACATGGATAGTAATGCGCACCGGTGGTGTACGGTACACACGTCAGAAAAATAAATCAACTAGCGTGTCGCGGCGACGAGCCCGGGGTTCGACTCCCCGCCGGTGCATGGAGTCCCTCTGCAGCTTTTTTTTTTTTTCGTACCCAAATTCAACGCACTAACCCTGGGTTAAAGGGATGGGAATAAGCACCGGTGGTGTATGGTACACACGTCAGAGCAATGGTCGAACAATGCTGCAGAATCCACTCATGGCCAGCTCGGGGTTCGACTCCCCGCCGGTGCATGTTCTTCTTCCGCAGTGTTTATTTTATTTTTGCCCGAATTCAACGCACTAACCTCTCGTCAAATGGGTAGGAATGAGCACTGGTGGTGTACGGTACACGCGCCTAAAGCATACATAATAATAATAAAACCGTGGAGTTTCATGGCGAGCCCGGGGTTCGACTCCCCGCCAGTGCCTCTCTCGAAGAGTTTTTTTCTGGCCTCACCACCATACTTTTTTCGTGCCTTAATTCAACGCACTAACCCAAGTTCAAAGGGGTAGGAATAAGCACCGGTGGTGTATGGTACACACGTCAGAGCAATGAACAAGCGATTATCCACTCATGGCCAGCTCGGGGTTCGACTTCCCACCGGTGCATGTTTCGCTTCCCACGTTTTTCTTTTTCTTTCACCCGGATTGAACGTACTAACCCAAGTTCAAAGGGGTAGGAATAAGCACCGGTGGTGTACGGTACACGCGTCGCACGAATCTGCGTTCAGTATCATCACGTACATGACGAGTCAGGGGTTCGACTCCCCGCCGGTGCATGCTTTGCCTCCCGCTTTTTATTTTTATTTCACCGGGATTAAACGTACTAACCTCCGTTCAAAGGAGTAGGAATAAGCACCGGTGGTGTACGGTACACACGTCATCTCCTTCCGGGAACGGTCGAACTTTACTTGACGAGCCCGGGGCTCGACTCCCCGCCCATACATAGCCGCCTACTCGGTTTTTTTTTTTTTTTTGCCCACCAAAAGCAAAGCACTAACCCAAGTTCAAAGGAATAGGAATAAGCACCGGTGGTGTACGGTACACACATCAGTAGAAATCCTGATGAGCCGGGGTTCGACTCCCCGTCGGTGTATGAGCCTACTGTATTCTTTGTACTCTTTTTTCTTTGGGTTGGCTCCGATCGGCCCGAGTCCAATACCATGCTTTCGTTTTTCTTTTCTTGGGGGGGCCGCTGAGCGCGGAGCCTCTAACTAGTCTCGGCTCAAAGGAACAAATTAATCCTTATTTTTTGGTTAACACCCTGAGGATACTAATCTCGGTTCGTATAGAGGGAGATAGACACAGGTGCACACGCGCCAGAAAAATAGCCTATTCCACCTGCATTGCATGGCGAGCCTGGGTCCCATTCTCCTCCTTTTTATTTTTATTGGCCCAGAAAGTCAAAGCACTAACTTTTAAAGGGATAGGAATAAGCACCAGTACACGCGTCGTACGAATCGGTGTCTAATAGCTCCAATTTCATGACGAGCTCGGGGTTCGACTCCACGCCGGTGCATGTTGCTCCGTTTCTTCCCCGTTTTTATTTTATTTTATTTCCCTTCAATTGAAAGCACTAACCCAACATAGGGATAGGAATAAGCACCGGTGGTGTTCGCAACATTCCATTCACGGTCGATCTTTACTTGACGAGCCCAGGGTTCGACTCCCCTCCGGTGCATGCCACTTCGCCTCCCGCTTTTTATTTTTATTTCACCCAAATTCAACCACTAATTTCAGTTCATATAGAGAGGAATAAACACCGGTGGTGTACGGTATACGCGTCGTACGAATGGGTGTTTAGACGCATAGAGCCTTCAGGTACATGACGAGGCAGGGGTTCAACTCCCCGCCGGTGCATGGACGGGTGCTGCATCGTTTTTATTTTATTTCGCTCGAATCCAACGCTCTAACGTTTAACCTCGGTTTCAAGGGATAGGAATAAGCACCGGTGGTGTAGAGTACAGGCGTCACCTCCTTCCAGTCGCCCCAGCAGAGTCAGGATGAGCCCGGGGTCCGACTCCCCGCCGGTACATAGATGCCCACTCCGGTCTTTTTGTTTTTACCCAAAAAGCAAAGCACCAAGCTCTCATCAAAGGGATAGGAATAAGCACCGGTGGTGTACGGTACATGCGTCGGAGGACTTCAGCGGGCTCTATAGAGGTTTCATGACGAGTCAGGGGTTCGACTCCCCACCGGTGCATGCATGGAGTCTCGATAAGTTTTTGTTTTTATTTATTTCGCCCGAATTCTGACTAACCCTCGGTTCAGGGGGATAGGAATAGGCACCAGTGGTGTATAGGACACGCGCCGTACGAATGCGTGCTTCGTGTTTTGAGCGTTCAGGTACAACATGACGAGCCCGGGGTTCGACTCCCTGCCGGTGCATAGGTGGTATAACGCCAGGCTTTTTATTTTTTTCCCTCAAAAATTCCACTAACCTCGGTTCAAAGGGATAGGATAAGCACCGGTGGTGTACGGTACACGCGTCGTACGAATCTGCGTTCAGTACCTCCAGGTGCATGACGAGTCAGGGGTTCGACTCCCCGCCAGTGCATAGGTGGTATAGCCGTACGCTTTTTATTTTCTTCCCACAAAAATTTAATTCACTAACCTCCGTTCGAAGGGATAGGAACAAGCACCGGTGGTGTACGGTACACGCGTCGTACGAATGTGTGTTGAATATCTTCGGGACTGACAGACTGCCAGAGCCGCGGATGCTGGTTTTTCCGACGCCGGATGAACCGATTATGGAGGCCTTGTATGTGGGCATGTTGGTGGAGGAGGGGGACAAGGACGACGAGCGGGACAGCGCTGGCGCGGGGGTTAACGTCTGCGTCAAGAGATTGATGTCAGCCAACTGAGTTAAAGGCCGTTGCCAAACATGCTGCCACTCGGCTTTTGCTTTCAACACTGATTGTGAAATACTTTCTGTGTCATGGTTACCCCTTCGCGACAGCAAAATTCCTTCTTTAGGTACCAGCGCTCGTCTACTGGGTTCTTGACTCCCCTCGACGCACTGACTGCCAGCATTTATCTGGGTGACTATCTAACTCACCTCGGTTCAAAGGTATAGAAATGCGCACCGATGATGTACGGTACACGCGTCGGAGGACTTAGCGGGCTCCATAGATGTTTTATGACGAGCCAGGGGTTCGACTCCCCACCGGTGCATACATGGCATCTCGCCAAGTTTTTTTTAATTTCCCCTCAATTCAAAGCACTAACCTCGGTGTAATGGGATAGGAATAAGCACCGGTGGTGTAGGGTACACGCGTCTTCTCCTTTAGCTTACCCCAGCACAGTCACGACGATCCCGGGGTTCGACTCCCCGCCGGTGCTTGATTGGCTGTTGTATTCTTTTTCTTTTCTTTCGCCCGGATTCAACGCTCTAACGTTTAACCTCGGTTTCAAGGGGATAGAAATGTGCACCGGTGATGTATGGTACATGCGTCGAAATATATCGCCCAAGCTGACTACAATTTCATGATGGTGCCAGGGTTCGACTCCTCGCTGGTGCATGGATCCCATTCTCCCCCTTTTTTATTTTTTACCCAAAAAATCAAAGCACTAACCTCAGTGTAAAGGGATAAGAATAAGCACCGGTGGTGTACGGCACATGCATCAGCTCCGTTTTCGTTGAACTGGGGTCCTGACGAGTCTGGGGTTCGACTCCCCGCCCGTGCATAGACGTCCAGTACGGCCTTTTGTGTTTGCTCAAAAAAGCAAAGCACTAACCCAAGGTCAAAGGGATAAGAATAAGCACCGGTGGTGTACGGTACACACGTCAGTCCCTTTCATGTGTTGCTAAGTTTTATGGTGAGCCCGGGGTTCGACTCCTCACCGGTGCATACGACTTCCCCCTGCCTTCTTATTTTACTTCACCAAAATAATTCAACGCATTTAACCTAGGTTCATATGTATAGGAATGAGCACCGGTGGTGTACGGTACACGCGTCATCTCCTTCCAGTTGTCCCAGGAGCGTCATGACGAGCCGGGGTTCGACCTCCCGCCGGTGCATAGTCGCTGGCTTGCATTTTTATTTCCTTTCTCCAAAATTCAACGCATTAATCATGATATAGAGGGGGATAAGCACAGGTGTGTATGGTATACACGTCAGTCCCTTTCATGTATTGCTTAAGTTTCATGGCGAGCCCGGGGTTCGACTTCCCGCCGGTGCATAAATCGTTTTCCAGAGACCTTTTCCTCCTTCAACAACACTGTACGTACTTTTTTGCCCTTTAATCAACGCACTTGATTTCAGCTCATATAGAACTCCGTGTCGATTCGTCTGTTGCTTTTCAGAGCTTTTCTTTCGGAGCCAACAGCGTACCTTCTGTTTCTCAGATGACTATCTAATATATTTCGCTTAAAAGGGATACAAATATGCACCGGTGGTGTATAGTACACGCGTCCGTTCGGATTACTATTAGCCCCGTTGACATTAGGAGGTGCAGTAACGTTAACCACTGCACCCCCGTTAACCGGCGCAGGCACAAGTTTCGGGAACGCAAACCCCCTTGCGCGCACGGGCGTGCTCTTGTCGTCCGCGTCGTCCGAGAGCGTCGGGGAGCGCTGGGGCTCGGGGGACGTGGGCGAGTCAGATAGGTCGTCAGAGGCGGATAAATGATTAGAGGATAGATGGTGCGAGGACGACGTCGAGAAACGCGCGGGCGTGATGGTGAGCTCGGAGGCGCTGCGCGCGGCGGGGGAGGGGTCGCGCCCGTTAGACATGCCGGCGGGCGAATATGGCGCAGACCCGAACACCCCGCGCGTCGGCGACGCTTCGTACGTCGAGCTACGCGCGGAGTGGAATACGTCGGACGCGGCGTCGGAGAAGACGGACGAGGAGGGCGTGTGGTAGATTGTGAGCGTGGAAGTGAGCGTCGAGGCGCGCGAGGCGGAGCGCGCGTTGAGATTGTTTGAGTTGGAGGCGCGCGAGGCGACGGCGCGGCGCGTGAGGTAGCTAGTCCACGAGTCGCGCGGCTTGGAGGAATCGCGGCTCGAGTTGCGCTTTGCGTTGGGTGTGGTGGGTGAGTCGCGCGGGCGGTTGCGCGGTGTGGGGGGGTCTTGCGGGGAGAAGGGCGATGCAGGACGTGCGGTCAGCTCCGAAGACGCCAGGGCGTCATTGTCTTCTTCATCTTCGTCGTCGTCGTTGAGGCTGTACACCCGTTGCGGCGACGGCGGCGGCGTATCCGGCCTCGGGACCAGCTCTCTCACGAACCGCGCGCCTTGCGCAGCGCTCACCCCACCTTCACTACCCTCCTGCAACAAATCCATCTTATTCCCGACCACCACCACGCAGAACGCCCCCAGATCCGCATCCACCACGGGCGCCTTGTCGCGGAACTCGGCCCACCATTTGCGCAATGCGTGCATGGTGTGCGGGGCGGTGACGTCGTACACGAGGATCGCAGCGTCGGCGCCGCGGAAGAACGCGGATGCGAGCGAGGAGAAGCGCTCTTGGCCCGCCGTGTCCCAGATCTGCAGCACCACGGGCTCGCCGCCGGGTTCTTGCGAGGGCAGCGTCTTGGTGATGAAGTCGGCGCCGATGGTCGCGCGGTACGAGGTGCTGAAGCGCGCGGAGATGTACTGCAAGCGGTACAGTCCTTAACCGGGAAGCGAAACAAACCGTGAAGCGAAACACCACGTGTTTTGCATCATGTGAGCATCCCCCAGGGCCCTATTTTTTTGAGCGCATTCTAGAGTATCCAAAACTCATATTCACAAAAGGAATTGTGCAGGTAGTGGTTCAAGAACTCAAGAAAAAGAAATCTTTTGAATCGCTGTTTGGCTCAGTTTTGTCACCAATATTGCAATTGAGCAGCCACTGTCCCTCGCTGCTGTGCAGGAATTACACAGTTATGGGATGTATTGGGGGTTTTCAGGCTCGTAGAATTGGAATATGGCCACCGCAGGACTTCAAAGACCCTCCATCGCGCCGATCTTACGTAGTGTTTCGCTTCGTGGTTTATGGCACAATTTGATGGTATCAATAATTGGGCCCGTTCTCCACCAATACTGAAGGGATTCACTCCAACTCTTTGATATCCAGGTAGCCATTTAGTATATACATTGAGTGAAAGAAAGTTTGGGTGACTATCGCTTTTCATCACGGAGAAAATCCCCGGATCGCTTGAGCGTTTCGCTTCCCGATTAAGGACTGTACCGTTAATAAAGGATATAAAGGGACCACAGGGGCGCACCTGGCCACGAATGCTGGTTTTACCGACGCCGGATGCGCCGATTATGACGACTTTGAATGTGGGCATGGTGGAGGAGGAGCAAGACGGGGACGACGAGCGGGACAGCGCTGGCGCCGTGACTGCATCAACGTTTGCGTCAAGAGATGTTTGTCAGCTAGAGGCCGTTGCCAAACATGCTGCCACTCAGCTTTTGCTCTCAACGCTTATCATGAATTACCTTCTGTGCCATGGTTACTCGCTCGATGGCTCTCTTTTGTCACGACCCTCCCCAGCGCTCGTCATCTAAATGGTTTATGACTCCCCTCGACGCTGGGTGACTGGGACGGCGCTGGCTTGGCACCGACGTGGCGTTTTTATTTTATTTTGCTTCTCAATTCAACGCACAAACCCAGGTTCACATGGGTAGTAATGCGCACCGGTGGTGTACGGTACACACGTCAGAAAAATAATTGAGCTCACGTGTTACGGCGGCGAGCCCGGGGTTCGACTCCCCGCCGGTGCATGGACTCCCTCTCCAGATTTTTTTTTTTTGTACCCAAATTCAACGCACTAACCCTGGGTTCAAGGGATGGGAATAAGCACCGGTGGTGTATGGTACACACGTCAGAGCAATGGTCGAATAATGCTTCAGAATCCACTCATGGCCAGCTCGGGGTTCGACTCCCCGCCGGTGCATGTTCTTCTTCCGCAGTGTTTATTTTATTTTTGCCCGAATTCAACGCACTAACCCAAGTTCAAAGGGATAGGAATAAGCACTGGTGGTATACGGTACACGCGCCTAAAGCATACATAATAATAAAAATCCCGTGGAGTTTCATGGCGAGCCCGGGGTTCGACTCCCCGCCAGTGCCTCTCTCGAAGAGTTTTTTTCTGGCCTCACCACCATACTTTTTTCGTGCCTAAATTCAACGCACTAACCCAAGTTCAAAGGGATAGGAATAAGCACCGGTGGTGTATGGTACACACGTCAGAGCAATGGACGAATAATTATCCACTCATGGCCAGCTCGGGGTTCGACTCCCCACCGGTGCATGTTTCGCTTCCCACGTTTTTCTTTTTCTTTCACCCGGATTGAACGTACTAACCCAAGTTCAGAGGGATAGGAATAAGCACCGGTGGTGTACGGTACACGCGTCGGCTCCTTCCGCCCTGAGCAATTCGCTTTCATGACGAGCTCGGGGTTCGACTCCCCGCCGGTGCATATCTCTCTTCCGCTTCTTTATTTTTTTATTTTCCCCACAAGGTACTAACCTCCGTTTGAAAGGATAAGAATAAGCACCCGTGGTGTGCGGTACACGCCTCCATAAAGTTCATTGTTCGCCTACATCTCAAGGAGAGCCGGGGTTCGACTCCCCGCCGGTGCATGGGTATCCATTCTCCCTTTTTTTTTGCCCAAAAAATCAAAGCACTAACCTCGGTTCAAAGGGATAAGAATAAGCACCGGTGGTGTACGGTACACACGTCATCTCCTTCCAGGAACGATTTAGCTTACTTGACGAGCCCGGGGTTCGACTCCCCGCCGGTGCATGTCATGTTTGTTTGGTGCATTGCTTTTATTTTTCTTTCGCCCGAATTCAACTCACTAACCCTCGGTTCAAAGGGGTAGGAATAAGCACCGGTGGTGTATAGTACACGCGTCGTACGAATGCGTGCTTCGTGTTTTGAGCGTTCAGGTACATGATGAGCCCGGGGTTCAACTACCCACCGGTGCATGGATGGGTGCTGCATCGTTTTTATTTTATTTCGCTCGAATCCAACGCTCTAACGTTTCACCTCGGTTTCAAGGGATAGGAATAAGCACCGGTGGTGTACGGCACACGCATCAGCTCCGTTTTCGTTAAACTTTGAAGTCCTGACGAGTCCGCGGTTCGACTCCCCCCCGGTGCATGTCTCTCGACGAGTTTTTATCTTTTGTTTTTATTTATTTCGCCCGAATTCTCACTAGCCCTCGGCGCAAGGGATAGGAACGAGCACCGGTGGTGTATGGTACACAAGCCAGAGAAATAAACGAACAGTGATCCACTCATGGCCAACTCGGGGTTCGACTCCCCGCCGGTGCATTCCCAGAACAACACTTTTAATGTTCTGCAGACCAGGTCAAGTTATTGGGGCATTCTTTATAGCATGACTATGCTTCATATGTAGCAAGAATTTTTGAGTGTGGCTTCAGAGCTTTTGGTCAGCTTGCTCTCTGTTCAAACTGCTGTGGCATTCAGATGACCAGCGCGGGGAAGATCTTCGCTCTCGTCTCCCTCGATCAAGTATTGAAGAGCTACAAAGTCAAAAGTCAACCAGCCATGTCATCCTCGTTAGCGGCACAGCCATACGGTCGATCTCCCGCGCTATGCGCTTTGCGATAAACGCTTCAGCGCGGGACCAGTAATCGATGCCCTCATGCGCACCCATTTTCCAGTCGGCCGTGTAGGAGGTGCACCGCATGCGGATGTATTGAGGATCCTCTGCAAGTTGTTTTGTCTCTCCGTGGTCAGCCAACGCATCCTCGTTTATGAGTACTTATGTAATAAGTCATTGCATTCAGCGGGTTAATAGCCAGTGTTAGGTGGAGCTGTTACGATATCCGGCTACTTCTGGCGATCTGCGGCTATTTGGCCTAGCCACAGCCACATAGCCCTACTTCATGGAGCTGTTACGAGGTCCGGCTACATCGACCCTCAGTCCCCTGCAGCCCAAGCTTGTCATAGTATGGCAACAACTCTGCCCCGCCAATGTATTCCTCTCCAAAATTAACTTGCTATATCGGCCTAACTGCACTGGGTAATTTATTACCCGTGTGGGCTCATGATATTCCGCGCGGACCGAGATCAATCAATCATTACACAAACCTACACAAACAAGTCGCAATTAGGCGGAATACATCCACAGCGTCGCATCTGTTGGCAGAGAGAATTTCGGGACCAGAGGAGCAATGGCTAGTCGAATCTTGCTGTTGCAAGGTGTGGGGAGGTGTGGGGAGGTGTGGTGAGGTGTGGCTAGCACGGCTAGCCACACGTCGCCAAGCCGGATAGCCACACATCAGTGGTTATGTCTCGGCAGGCTTTCCTGCGGCTATTGGGCCGCTGAATGCAGTAAGTCTCGCCTCTTTCAGATTGCTTGATCAGCAAAATCATCGATTTTTTCCTGTGTTATGCTCGAAACGTTGAGGGATTTTTTAGGGGCTGTGCTATTGAAATTAGTCGCTATGCTTAATTTCCATTCAAAAAATTGTATTGAAAATAGCGGCTGTGTCGTTCATGTTATTTTGAGATCATTGATGGATTTTGTACCGAGTCATCTTTTCCAAAAAAACTTTTTGTCTACCGGTTAATCGGGTAACTGGATATCTGAGCTCTATCTACGTCTTAATCTAATCTATGGATAATCGCACCGGACCCCAGTCGGCTACTTCGGCATCATAGATGAGCTATCAACATCCTGGCGTTTTTTCTTTGCCTTCCACCTTCATAGCTGTTTTCTTTTGGAGTACACAGCCTCGTACCTTGTCTATCTCGTCGTAAGCCCTCAGTGTTATTTTGGGATCATTGATGGATTTTTCACCGAGTAATCTCGGTGAAAAAAACTTTTTGTCATTCGGTTAATCTCGGTTACTCGGATAGCGAGGTAGGGACTCAGCCTCAATCTTATCTTATCATGGCGGTTGCTTCAGCATTGAAACACTTATTATTCCAACGATGCTCCCATCCAGGAGGGTAGAAAAAAAAATTGGCTAGAGGGGAACTATGCCCACAATTGTATTTTTTAACTTCTGCACAGTGTTCATACATGTGTCCCTTGTCTGACTTGAGAATGTCACAATATTGTTTGCCATCCTCAACTCTCAATTTCCTCATGTTCTGAACTATGGTTATCCAATCATTATGCAACAGACCTCGTGTTTGCATACCTCGGATAGCTGCATACCTTCTTGTGTAAACAGGTATATTCCGCATCTATGTATACCCTTCAAGTTGCATCTACCAGGAATACATTCCATGTACTCTAATTAATATTTAAAATCTCCACTGGCATACACCCCTGTGTGAATCTAGCCAGCCACGTGTCAAGCAGTGAACGGAGACCATGACTACAGATTTGGAAAGAATGCTCGCCAAGTCCTTGCACACTGCAATTATAAGGTATAAATTACGAAGCTAGTGAATAGTAGCAATCTGAAAAAAAGATAAGTACGAGTTCTGCCAGGCAACACCACGGCCCTACTACCCAAGTTCCTGTCTGTGGCAGGAGCGAAACGAGGACGCGTAATGACATGCACATCTGTAGGAGTGTCAGCGGTGATAAGTCCATGTGATCCAAGTGGTCGAAAGCAAGATGGGTGAGACAGGGTACGAGTGCGAGCCCAGAGGGTATTTCCTCAGGTACAGAGTGACTGCATGGCATTAATTCGAGATGAGTGAGATTAGAGAAAGATGAATGCGCAGAATCCAGTGGGTCCTCCATGCCAAACAAATCCGGAATGTCGCAACACAGACATTTCAGCGGCAGTCGAAAGATAGTTTGAAGCATTTCCCCACTGAAATCAGTACCGCCGATCCACAGATCCTCTACACCGGAGCACACAGACAAGATGATCGCGGAAAGCGGTGTATAGGCGGCCATGTACAGGTGATGTACTGTGTCGGCAAAGAAAGACGCAGGTTTGGAGCCGCTGTGGATCAATGAGATGAGTGCATGTGCATTCGCCACAGGGTGGCCCGCGAGGGTCCATTGGTCGTAGAACGATCCAAAGGTGAGGGTGCGATATAATAACGGCTCGACCCTGCGGTTCCGGGTCAATTCAAACGATAAATACCTGAGTGGGGGATGAACAAACCATTCCTTGACACGCCATGCGACGAGCATTAGGTTCAGAATGCAAAGTGGTCGAGCGTGGGCCACCGTTTCAAAGATTTTGCGCTCCAACTCTGGGGGCAAACCTCCGAGGGGGGCAACGAGCATATTCGAGGTCATCCGATAGTACACAGCTTCACCGAGTTGAAAAAAAAGGAATTCCAGGCGTCGTTTCGACAAAACCTCGCGGTTTGCTCAGTGTTGGCAAGTCGTGGGAGAAGAGAGGAGCGCTGTGGTTGCATGTTTGGCGGCTGATGGCACTAACACTGCCCAAACACTGCCATGCAGCTTGTTCCAAGAAAGCGGGAGAGACTCCACAGTCCCCGACGAGCCCGCCCCGCCGGTGCATACTATTGTGCCCTCTGGGTCCCTGTCTAGCTGGAACAACTTTTTCTGATTTTATTCTGTGCATTGTTGCCCTTGGCATCCTCTGGCATTAATTAATACATGTCTGATGCATGTACGTGCAAAAGAACTAAGAGATTAGGTGAGGGGAAAGTATGATTAGCTCGTTACCGGGTGCGTTGATGAGAGGGTAATACGGAATACTACCGAAATTCTCCGTGTCCGCTCATTCCGAAGCTCCGAAAAAAAATCAAGCATATTCTTACACAATAAAAGAAGGCTTCTATCTCTTCGGAATCTGTTTCCAGAACGATGTGCCTCGGGACGGGCCCACGAGATAGCAATTGAGCACCCCTAGTAGTATCCCTCTCCTGCTTTTTATTTTATTTTACGCGAGACAGCGGCATGGATGCCGAGTGATGTGATGTGATGGACTGCCAGATACTACATCAACCCCACGCTATCGCCCCCGGTTTTGCCTTATG